CTCTCACCGCAGCATCCCTGGCCCGAAACTGAATTCATTAAACATTGGAAAAATTCATGAGTGGGTTCACAAGAAATGCCTGTCCCCGTAATAGCACGCGCCCCTTAAATAGTCTCAAGAAGAGACTCCAAAGGGAGAGAAGGGTGCCCGGGAGTTGTTCATTAAGAGAAGCCCCGGCCGTCTAGAAGAACGCGGGACCTCTCCCCTACCCCACCCCGAGCCAGTCTCTGCGGGGGACCTCGCGTCCCAGGACGCACACCCTGCAGGGCCAACGCGACTGTGCCGGCGCCCAGGTGCAGGGAGGACCCGAGACCTCGGGCTGGGAAGCTGGGACACCCCGGAAGCAGTATCCTGTGCCGCCTCCAGGGGGAGCGCGTCAGTTTCTGTCCGTCTGGGAAAGATAGTGTCGGCTTTTTCTACTTCAAGCGAGTATCCTTTAAGGTCCTTTCCAACCTCAGTCCCACCAGAATTCTAACTTCATCCTTCGTCTATCATCTTTTATTCTCCTCCTTAGAAGGGGTGCTCCTTTGGGGTGGGGGCCACGTGAGGTAGGGAGCTTCGCTTATTGAACATCTACTGAGCTGCTTCTGGGTGGCAGGTCTGGGGCAAGATGCACTGATACAGCAACGAGTACAAAAACTCAGTCCTGGCCCTCGAAGCAGGGAGATCAAGTAAGTGCACAGGTATTTATAACACAAGGTCTTAGCATGTCCCATAACACGTGGTTCATTAGTGGATTGCTGCAATTCGCGGATTTCTATGTATTTTTTTTTAAACGAATGAGGTCATAACATAAACAATTTATTTTCCTGGTTCTTTTAGTTAGCATTTTCATATATATATTTACCCATATAATTAAAATCTATTGGTAATTTTTATCTGGCATAATAGAATTAATTCTGAAACTCTGTCTCGCCAATTAGATCATGCCATTCATGTGCATGTTTGAATCACCACCATCTACCACAGGGCCTGGCATATGGTGAGTGCTGATTATGTGTTGAACTAAAAAGGTTTGCTATCAAACAGAGTGTAGGGAAGTCATAGAGAAAACCCAGTACTCAGAATGGCAATCCTGTCTGACACTAAATAGCTGTGTGCCCTTGGCCTCAGCTTCTTCCTCTACAAATTGAGGTTTAGCTGGAGGAGTTCTATGGTCTGCAGCTCGCAAACATTTTTAGGATTCTAATGCTGTATAAATCCAGAAGGATTTAGCATGGGCCCAGGTCCGATTCCTTTAATTCATCCCCCACCAGGATCACATAAAGCTGACTTTAAGTGCTGTCGTGTTTTCATGGCCCTCTTCCTGAGCCCTTTACCCCAAGCCCTCTTACACTCTATGTCTGGATGTCTGGATCTGTTCCAGGTTGTCTTAGCATCGACTTGACTTTTTAAAAATTTATTGCTTTACCTCATGTGGTCCTATGCTTAATATCTACCACTTCTCTGGTACCAGGATTCTCATTTCTCTTAACCAGGATTCTTTCTCCCAGCCTAGTCCAGCCCTCAGGTTTTCTGTAGGGTGATCTGAGCAATTCAGACATCCACACCAAACTATATCCCAAAAGGGCCCCTTCCCAACCCATCAAGTTCCCCATCCTCGTCCTGTTATGATGGTCCTGCAGTTTTCCAGTGCTCCCCAACCACCTTTCCACTGGGGAATGAACATTTTGTACAACATAACTCCTAACATTTTAGGAAATAATGTGTTGTAGGTAATGTTACCAGTCTTAAAAAAACTCATAAAATATATTGCCTTTTTTTCCCCAATGCTCCTAGACTTCATCTTCAAATATTGTGAGTACCATGACCAAAAATTTTATCAAATTACTTTTAATACAACACAAACCCTGTTAATGCACCAACAGAATTCATAACTACCCATCTTTTGTGAGACCCCAGCTTAATGGGAACATTTGTATGTCCCTCCAGAAATGGGATCAAGAGACCCTGAACAAATGTCTTGTCACATTTCAGGGCATTAGGGATATTGTGGCCTCAACAGAAGAGAAGTGGTGACCACTATCAGGCCTAGCTATAATTAAGGCTATACCACTTACCCTTTTTCCTAAACCTGACTTCCCAACAGACTCAGACGAAAATAGAATAGCTCCCTTTCCAAAGCTAAATCTTATTTGTCATAGAAATATACTTGGAAAATTTTAGCTATGGAAAGACAGGAATAGGATATGTTTTGTGGTCCATAGACAAGGTCTAAGTCATGACTCAACTTTGAAGAAGGGACATGACTTGCTGTGGCAGGAATCTTCCCTGTTAACTTTTAATCCCAAGGTTTTATCAAAACCCTTTATTAATTATGTAGGATGGTTAAAACCCCAGGGCCACTTGGTTAAGGCAGACTGAGAAAATTAAGTAGATGTAAAATAAAATAATAAGAAGGTGACGTTTGTCCTCAGATCAGCTTTACTCTGGTAGAAGACACCTATGATCAGCTAATTTGAGGAATAGTTGCTGGCTGTCCACAAACCTGCAGAACCATTCATTGACTTTATGTTTCTGTGTGGCCCAAGGAGGAGCAATGATGTGCTCCCAAAAGAAATCTGAAAGTTGGGTCCCTCAGTAAAGCCATGGTGCAGCCCTTCCTTTATTTGGACCCGCTCCCTCTCAAAGGCAGTGTTGATCTCTCCTTCCTTTCTGCCGGCACTGGGCCTGAGTCCTTGTTACACTGTTTTGGCATTATTTGTTTCCTTGTCTGCCTCCTAAACAGGACTGTGAGAGCTTCAAGTGCAGCAAAACATTTATATCTCCAGCACTAAGTACAGTACTTGGAATTTAGATGTTTAATAAATGTGAACTGAGGAAATGAAAAGGTCTTTAAAAATAAACCAGAATCAAGGGATTCCCTCATCTGTAGTTTAGACACAATGGAGAAGATTATCAGAAGAAACTGGGTTTCTCACAGAAATCAGAGACTTACTTAACCTGAAATCATCATACATAAGTGTGAATAAAAAACCTGAAGAAGACATGAACTCCGGGGAATGCAACCAGAACTAAAACACTGAGCCCCAACCAGAAAGTCTCTCAGAGACAGAATTTCACGGAGTATTTCTGGAGGACAGAGTCTTGTAAAGCTGAATTCATAGGAATGTAAATTGGGGCTGGTGGAGCAGAATCATTTATATTCTTAGTCTGGAAACTCATAACTCATTACATGATTTTTGATTCTGAAAATAACTACAAGACATGAGTAAGCCTTCGATAAAGATCCTTATCAGGGCCAAAATGATCCTGTCCAAACCACATCTTCAGTCATGTATCCGATCAGGAAGGGTAAAGGCTATT